ATATTTAGTATATCTTTTTTTAAATATAAAATTTAATTATACTACTAACTATTAAAATATATATATATTTTTTTAGAAACTCTATGGAGTTTTAATGGATATACAAATGGATATACATCTCTAAGCCATGCGTGGATCATGATAAGCCGGACTCGGTTGCCTCGTAAGTCTCGTAACATGTGAGAATTGGATAACTTGCTGACTCGGATTGATAAGAAGATTCCGTACGGATCCCAACAGGGCCAATTCTGAGCATTCATTGGACTCTTACGTAAATATTATCTGGGCCTTAGGCCCATTAGTTAAACAAGTGGCTGAGATGGTGGAAGTAGAGGAGAAGATGAAGTTGCGGTTGTTTCGACGACGATGATGGCGAGGTTTGTTTCAGTGTCGTCTCCTCAGTTCCATTTCTGCTTCCGTGAGTTCTCTCCTCCGTCTTCAAATCTTTATCCCAGACGGTTCGAGGTAAATTCTTTGTCTAGAGTTTCTTCTGTGATTGTAATGTCTCTTGAACTCAGATGTTTCTCAATTAGGTCTCTGATCGGAGATTCCCGGTGATTCCGATCAAGTGTTCTTCATCTGAGCCGGAAAATGGTGAATATTCGGCGCCTTTGCCTTCTTCTTCTTCCTCCTCATCGTCGTCCACAAGTGAACTGTCTATTAACAGTTCGACATACAACTGGTACACTGGAATCGGCGGTATTGGGATGTTAGACACTGCGTATTTGACTTACCTTAAGCTCACTGGTTCCGATGCCTTTTGCCCTGTTGGTGGTGGTACTTGCGGCGATGTCTTGAACAGCGATTATGCTCTCGTTTTCGGTATTATCCGTCACTTTAATAACTGTAGCGTTTGATTTCAGTTTGCGTTTTGCAATAGACCTTCGAGATTACATGAATATATGAGTATATGCAGTCCTGAGTTTAGAGTTTCAGTAATTGTGTGGATTTTGACTGTTGAGTTTGCAATAGACTAACCTGGCAACATGTATGCAGCTTAGTTTTAGATTTGTATTCGTGTAGACCTTCCTTGATTAGTATTTGCGAGAAAGCTGTGTCATTCATTAGCTTCTGTAATTTAGTATGCATATAGAACTGTGAAATTTGAACGGCATGCTTCTCTCCACTCTATGTAAAGCTTGTTGTTCTTCTTTGTCCTCTGCTTCGTCATTTTCGTGACGCATGATTGTCTTATTGATTGGAACTCTCACAGATTGTAATTCAGGTATTGTTTGTTTGAAAGCTGAACTCGATGACAATCCTTTCACATTTTGTCAGGTGTTCCTCTCCCAGTGATTGGATTTGTTATGTATGGATTAGTAACAACTCTAAGTGCGCAGCTTGGGGAAGGGAATCTACCTTTTGGAATCAGTAAGACTAATGGGCGTTTTGCGTTATTTGGGATCACGAGTGCAATGGCATCTGCTAGTGCATATTTCCTGTATATCCTTAGTACAAAACTATCAGGATCATCATGCCTGTATTGTCTAGTGTCTGCTTTCCTATCGTTTAGTCTATTTTTCCTCTCTATAAAGGTATTCCTTTATTTTTCGTTTCTTTTACATTTTGGGTTTATTGTATTCGAGTCAAGATGACATCTAAACTTCAGAAGATTTGATGTGGTAGGATGTAAAGTTGCAAGAGATACAGCAAGTTATAGGGTTACAGATATGCTTAGCAATCATAGTAGTTGCCTCCTTGACTGCTTCTTACAGTACTGCTCAACCAATCCCTTCACGGTAATCCTTTGTTACAGTTCATCGTTTTCTTTCGGGAAGTCCGATGGAAAATTGAATTCTTTGTTATAAGTAGTGAACCAATAGCGTCTTTGAACCCCAATTCATTATTGGTTTCTCTCCTTGCAGCTCAGGTGACATTGAACTGCCATACTATACAACAGAGATAACTACATCATCGAGCCCTTATGCTATTGCGTTAGCAAAATATCTTAACTCCATTGGAGCTAAAATGTATGGGGCGTTCTGGTGTTCTCACTGCTTAGAGCAAAAAGAGGTAGCTAGTTCATTCATCATCGTGTTGCTAGGAATCAGTTTCATGGGTTTATTATGTTCATGTAAGTTCACTCCATCTATAGATGTTTGGAAGGGAAGCGGCAAAACTACTGAATTACGTGGAATGTTTTCCCGAAGGATATAAGAAAGGAACCAAGATATTCAAGGCATGTGCAGATGCTGGTATCGAAGGATTCCCGACATGGATAATTAATGGTCAGGTGAGTAAATCCTCTGAATCCTCGGTACAATCTCATCACATGTCAGTTCCCATTTCACCTCTTTTATGCATTTAGGTCTTAAGCGGAGAAGTAGAACTCGCGGAACTAGCGGAGATGTCTGGATTCAGCCTTGATCAGGCAAATGAGACGAATCAACTCCAGTAAATTCTTGTATCGTTGCAGAAAATATTAGGTGAATCCGTGATTGCTCTTTGCTTGATCCTGATAGCTATAGGATTTATCTACGTAAATGCAAGTGATTAAAGTGCTTATTATTACCATAGGAGGTTAATAATTACTTCATGATTATTATCCCTCTTAGCCTTCACCAAAGAATCACTATTTATTTAGGTTCTACTTGTGTTTTGAGAATCTGCAGTCATCTAGTAGTAAGTCTAGTGACTATATGTATGTATTATAATGCCTAGAAATGAGGTTTTAAGCAAGAGCCACAC